AGTCGTAGAGAGCTCTTGAGACACAGTACTCGGCAGCACAGGCAGATGGCTTAAGCAAGACACTGGTCCAGGAATAAAGACCACCAGGTATCAAAAGTGGTCCTCCCTGGAGGCCGCTGTCTACCCCTATGTGTGTCCCTGGGCCTCCCAAATTCCTGATTCCTATGGATAGTGAGAGATTTTTGTCTTTTGTCTTGGATCCTGGGTTTTAGGATTTTTTTTTAACACAATGCATACAAAACAATGTTCGTGTATCCACTTCATCCAGCATGAAGACAGCTAGCTGCCACCTGAGGTGACTGTCACCTCAGTCTGAAGTAAAGAATGCCACAGAAACAGGGACAGCTCCAGCACTAGGACCCCAAGCCTGGAGACCAAGCCCAGTGGAACTCTTTGTCAGTTGTCAAAACAGTTGCTGACGGGCAAATGTTCTGAGCATTATTAGTAAATACTGTAATGACATTAAATCCTCTGGCACAGCCTTCCCCCACCCCATGGATAAGTTTTTTGTCGCTTTATTTATGTGCTCAAATCCTCTAACCACCACAGCTCCACAGACTGGTATCACTGTCTTGCTTCAGGATTAGAGCACTTAGTATTTGCCACTGCCCAAATGGCTTCTTGGTGTCAGATACACAGTCCTGCTGGGCACTTACAGGGCTTGGCCCATGCTTTCTGCATAGTATGCGGTGCTCTCCCGTGGGCCCTGATGGCTGCATTCCAGCTGACTGCTTTCCTGTAGAGGAGTCTGAGTTGAGAGGCAGGGCCTCTGCTGAGCTGTGTGGCAGGAGGCAGGACACACCAGAAGCTGCAGAGCCCGTGAGCCTGCCGGGACGCTCAGGGTCCCTACATGTGGAGGCCAGGGCATCCTGAAGGAGGAGGATATTAAAGTGAGCATTGGACTAAGTGAATGGAATCCATTTAGCTTTAAGATTTTCTACTTCTGCAGTTGACCTGTCAGTTTATGGCTTATAGAAAGGACATTTTATCAAATGCTACAAAAATATCATCTACTTCAAAAAAGCAATTTCCATCAGACACTGTTGCACCTCTGACCTCTAATGAAACCTGGTATTAGAAATGACACATTGTACATGGTAGCTGCGGGGGGTGCGGGTCCCCCAATTCATTTCTATCAAACTTACTTAGGTGAAGTTTTATTGAGAATTGGCCACTGTTTATATCAGGATTTAATGTTTTTTAAAAAATAAGTAAGAAACACTGGTGGTGCTTTTCTGATTCTGCGCCCAGTTCCAGCAGTGCCGTGCTGTCTTTCTGGCGCCTCCTTTTACCCTGTCCTGGTGGGAAACTGTCCCAGGCAACGCCGGCAGCGTCCCGCCCACAGGGCTCAGAGCCCGATTCTCAGCGATTTCCAGGCTGGTACTTCCCCTGCCTGTCTCGAATTTAGTTTCCTATTTCCTCTACCTGCAGATTGTTTCTTGCTTCTTTCTCCCTCATTTTTCCTTCTTTTTTTTCATCCTTTTCTCCTTCCTCCTCTCTTCACTGTCTTCCTCTACTTACCTCCATTTCCTCTCACCAATTTACCATGTCATCACTCAGATTCCAGGACTATAACCAATTTTTAAAATGCCTTCTGTCTTTTACCACAAGCATAAAATAAGCAGAGCCAGTTATACTGCCCTACTATCTGTGATCCATGCCATAAAGTTTTCAGATTAAAACAATTCTCTTGCCAACGAATCAAGATCTAGAATTTCATCCAGAGTCTCCTGTCCCACAGTGAGGGGCTTGGGGAAGTGACTGAATCACGTGGGCTTCATCTATTCCTTGGTGTATGCACTGTCAGGAGATGAGGCTGCCAGAGCAAGGCCACCAGGGCATGACCTGCAGGCAGGAGCGCTCCTCCCTCCTCTCTGCTGCCCGGCCTCCACGCTGCGAGCAGCTCTCCTGCCCTGTGCCCCTCTGTCATGCTACCCCGCCAAGAAGCCAGTTGCGTGAGGACTAAACCATGAACGAAGATAAATGTTTTAAACTGTGGATATTGTGTATTAATGTTGGGGTTGGGAGTGAGATGGAGTCTGTGTTTGCTACAAACCCACTGCCTCATGGGAAAAGCAATAAACCTATAGGAGTTCCCAATCGCTGCATTTTCAGCAAGCCCACGTGATCTGGAGGAGAGAGACAGCAGTATAAGCTCACCCAGGCTGTGACAAGGAGTTCTGGATACCTGCTGCTCAAAGTTATAATCATCCTTGACTTTCATTTTTATTTTAAAACTTCTAAGTAGGTCTCTCATGGTGAAATTGAGATAGTCCCCAAACGGGACACTTTCACATCTGTAATGGGAAGGATGCTAAGGGTGGAAAGTTCAGAGGAAGGTTAAGAAGTGAACCTTTCCACAGGGTCAGCCATGTGCTGCGACTTGCTCATGTTCAATGCCCCGCTCCATCTATGGGGGGACAAAGGATGAGAGTGTCAGTGGCTGCTTCCAACAATACCCTTGTCTTGCCTTGTAGTGCGGCACCGTGGACCAGGGCCTGTATGTGAACCTCACAGAAAGGAACCTTCAGGATGCACAGAAGTTCATCCTGATGCACGAGGTGGTGCAGCCCGTGAGCACAGCGCCGTCCTTCATGGAGGACAACAGCCGCTTCTCCCACGTGGTGGTGGACCTGGTACAGGGCCGAGACACGCTCATCCACATCATCTACCTGGCCACAGGTAGGCGCTGTGCCCTCTTCCCAGGGCTTTGCAGCCAACTTCTCCTTCTGTGTTTCAAATGCTAACCAGCTGAACACGTTGGGCCTGCCTTCTTACCAGTTGTTTTCAGTACATTTTCGGAAACCTTCATTCTCTTTGTGCAATATTAGTCATTTTAATTGGGAAAGAAATGCCTCCTTCCTTAACTATTGTTCTTCCACTATTCATAAAAATACATCTTTTCTTGGCAAGACCATCTTAAATTGGATAGTTCAAGGCAATGGAGCACTTTGTTAGAGGGTGTTGCAGGCGAAGTATCCTTGATTTTCATGGTGATTTCTATTTCATGGCTATTTCAAAAACACTGCTTATAGCAAACTACTCCCATAATGGCTTATGACAGCATTCAAAGCATGTATTGTGGGTCATAAAGAACACAGTATTTCACAGCCATTGTAAGCAGCAATTCTTGTCAAATTCTAAATAACAACCAGACCTCTGCAGATTGCAAAACAACGAGAGTGCGCAAGGCCCGCTCCATCTTGGGAAATACACAGCCTGCTGGCTCAGGACCCAGCCCAGCCTCGGACTGTACCCTGCTCCGCCTTTCCGTAGTAAGGCAGAGCAGCCTCACTGCGGAAGCTATTCCTCTACACGCTTGTGCAACTGGCACTTTCCCCGCAAATGCAGTTTCCTTTCCTGTTGCTGTGAACCATCTTGCTTTCCTGGATAGATCTTTTCAATTTCTAATGTTTATGCATGTGTGTCTGTTCATGGGGCCACTAAGATTTATTTAACTTTTACTGTTTGTCGTGTTCATTAGAAGCATCATATGCATTTCTGGATAGCCTGTTACTGGCCTGCTCTCCCGAGGCTCACATTCTAAAGGGACCGGGAGGTGACAAGTGAGCCAGTGGTTGAATTCATCAGCAGTACAGTAGTGGTTGCAAGCCCATGTGGCAGGTGACGCAGCACCAGGAAGGCTGCGGCTTGGTGGGCAGGGTCTGCCATGTCAGCAGATGGCCTGTAAGCTGAGCACTGTCTGAGGAAGGAGAGCCAGCCCTGCAGCCCTGCAGCCCTGCAGCCCTAAGGGACTTAGCAAACGCCGCACGGTCAGAGTCTGGACAGCTGCGGACGGTGCTGCGGAGAACCAAGAACTAGAGGACTGAGTGACAGACAGAGGCCACAGCTGTCCCTGAAGTCCTGTCTGTGGGAGGAGCATGGGAGAGAGCCAGAGGTGGCAGCAGCAGCTGGTGTCTGCTCTTTGCAGAACTACACAGTAAAGAGGAGCCCAGACCGACAGAGCCGCTAGAGGGCTCAGATACAACCGACGACGTCACCAATGCAGTCTTGGGAACCAGGCTAGCAGGCCGGGGCTGCGTCGCTTTTTCTGACCCTTTCATCCTTGGTGTCTCATGGATACCTGAGGTGTGTTAGGTTCAGAGAATGAATGAGCTGGACCTTTGCAGTCTTTAGGGACTTCTATTGTACATGTTCAAGTTAATGCCTCATAGATTGGGGTCATCGTTATGGAAAGGAGGGGCACAGGTCCTCATCAGCACCAGCATGGAGTGTGGAGGAGGTGGGCTGGCACTGGCCTGAGGCTCTTCTGCCCTCTTCCCACCCGAGGGCATGGGTTGGGGTGTCTGCTTCCCTCATGCCCAGCCTGACCAATGGTGAGCGCTGAGGATTTCTACTGCAACTCTTCTACTCTAATTTCGATAATGTCTTTCTTCACTTCTCATTGCAGTTAACTGAACAAACACAGGCCAGGGAGCTTAACTAACAGAAATCTATCCCCTCGGTTCTGGTGCCTGCTGTCCAACAGCAAGGTGCCGTCCAGTGTGTCCTGTTGAGGGCCCTGTCCTGGCTCGAAAGTGCTGCCCCTGGCATCCTCCCAAGGGTGCGCACAAGTATGCTCCTGAGTCTCTTCTTGAAAAGCAGAGTGTGTTTTGAAGTATTCAACCTCAAGCCCCAGTGACCTGCAGAAGGCTCTGCTTCTGAATACCACCATGCTGGGAAGAGGGTTCAACCCATGAGCTTGGGGTAGGGGAAAGGAAGACTATTTAAAACATGCCCGCAGGGGTTAAATGCTTGAGGGTCTTCACTACAAACGGTATGCTTGTGGAACATGAAGTCAAAACAGAACAACGTAGACCAATCATAAATAAAATAATAGACAGCGGGTGCTGCGTGTTAGCACAACTTCTAGAAACTCACATACAGAGTCTGCCTCGGCCCTGCTCCCCCACCCTCTCCTCCCCGCACGTGCTGCGGGCGTATCTCATGGGGTCATCCCCACCCTGCTCACACACTCCCTTCCCCGTCCTTCACTGAATTCTGCTCCAGAGTCTGTACTTTTTGTAACGGGAAGTTCGAGGCAACCCACGTGAAGCAAGTTGGTGGGTGCCATGTCCCTGATAGCGCAGATAGTTATTAGCATTTTTATTAATAAATATGTTTCGTTAAGCTGTGTAGCTTGGTTTTTAAGTCATGATGCCACCACAAACTTCACAGACTGCAGCAGAATAGAAGCGTGACTTTTTCCTTTTGCATTTATGTATTTGGTACAAGGTCTCACTACACAGCTGGAACTTGTAGTGATCCTCCCGTTTTTAGCCTCCCCAGTACTGGGGTTACACAGGTGCGCCACCACACTGGGACTTGGTTGCCCATTTAGCGCACCCGGGAGTGGGGCCGGTGTGGCATGTGGTGCCGGGGATCGAACTCCAGCCCCTGCGCCTGCCTAAGCAGGTGCTTTCTGCTGAGCTAGCTCCCTGAAGCATGACTTTCTTATCTACTGGGATATCAAAGCATGTCTGTGACTGGCCTCCTGTGAACTTTGCTCTCTCACACCAATCTGGAGCCCAACCCACTCTGTCTACAAGACAGGACTTACATCGAGGGCACTTACGCAGGCCTTGGGCCCCAGGCCTTCTAATCTCGTCTCCGGGCTTAGAAACCTGACTGTGATCCTGGCACACTATATGCCACTTGCCAAGCGCACCCGACTCAGACTTGCTTCATTTTTCCACTTACCTGCTAATTTGTTTGCATTTGAAGCTACTTGCCTATGTAGTGTGCTTGCCTGACTTGAGCTGTAGTGTGTATTGAGAGAAAAATAATTGGAATCTCAGGTTGGGATGGTGTAGGACTCTTTCTCAAAATCCTCCTCTTGCTGGCGAGTTTGTTAAAGTCAGGAGGAGGAGGATCTAGCGGTGGGTGAAATAGTTCTTCCTACAGGAAAGAAAAATGGAAATAGAGTCCTGGAGAGCTCCGCCCCAGATTGTAAGCAGCGACTCAGGCTGCCAAGGAGAGCTATGCCGGAAGCTGGATTCCCAGGCCGCACACACTCTTCTATAGCTAGATTGGCAATTTTAGCATTAGAAGAGCAATAAATTACAAACTTAACATTTCCGCTATCTTTTGGATGTTTCCATTTACTTCTTACATTATCACTTAGAACATTTTAAAGGAAATGCCTTCCTTTCCAAATTTAACAGGATATAAAAGTTAGCTTCGTAGATATTATTTTGGTGATCTTGCACATTCTTTTTTTAATGTTCAGTGAATTGAAGTGGAAAAGCAGAATATGAGAAAGACAATCCAAAATGCAGATCTTTCTAAAATAAAAGTCGGGTGAATTTGGCAAAGTTGACAAAGACGACCGATTTGGTCATTCCCGATGTACAACACTGATGTTCACTATTCTGTTAGTTATATCTCACTCCACTTGGGCCACATCAGGGCAGACCAAGGAATTTCATCTGCTTGGACATGAGAGCTGGCATTTAGCGTGCAGCCTGGAGTCCTCAAGGGATGTTGTCCTTGCTGTCCCCTTCCAGGGATTAATACCTATGCAGCGAAGAGCAAGCAAGCATGGCCCACGTCACCAGGGAACATGAAGCCGGCGTGCTTCCCAACCACAGAGAAACAGCTTGCTAGCTCAGGCTGGGAAATCCAGGCATGGCGCTTAAACACATGGTCTCCCACTTCTGCTCTGCTGAAGTAGGATGCAAATGGGTAACACCTGCCAATAGCCGCTGGCGAGGTGGTTTAGCTCATGTGTCAGCATTATCTAAAGGTTAGCATGAGAGGGAGGCCAGCTGAGGTGAGTCCCTAGAAGAATACAGAAGGAGCAAAAGTGGTTCTGCCACACATTCAGTGTTTGGAAAAGGAGATCATAAATACAGTAAGTACTCACCACTGAAGTGACAAAAGATGCAAGGTGGGATGCAAAGGCAGCTCACAGGGATGAATGAATGCCGAGAAGATCAAAACTTGCCAGGGAAAGCATTCAGTTCGCAATACCATGGGAACAGAGGCAATGCCGAGGGTTGACAGAACAAGAGATTGCAATGAATTCCATGGCAAACCAACTAATGAAAATATTCCAGAAATGAGAGGCCACAAAATTAAGGCACCACTGGAATAGTTGGTGTCTTTAAACCAAAAACTCTTACAAAGGGAAACAAAAATTACCCCAGCAGAAATAATTACAGAAAATTTTGCAGAAATAAAGGAAGAATGGCAGGCACAGATGTTGCTGCACACCACAGTTCAGCAATATTACCTAGCAGTAAATGTACATCCGCTGTAGCCAGGTAGAAGTTTCAAATTCCAGGAATAACATTAGATGAACATTGTGGGAGAAAAACACTTACAAATGGAAAAAAATTTAGTGATCTTAGAATTCTCTGCAGGTGCTTACTCTGTGAAACATGGTCTACAATGTTCTGAGCAACAGCAAACGTCATTCAAGAATGTTGCACTCGGGGCTGGAGAGATAGCTCAGCATACTAAGCACCTGCTTTGGCAAGCATAGGGACCAGGGTTTGATTCCCAGTCCTGCATATAGTGAAGACTCCACCAGAGGGGCTTGCTGAGCCAGCGACCAAGTTGGGGCGCGGTGGCGCACACCTGTAATCCCAGTGTAGGGAAGGCTGAACCCAGGAGGATCACTATGAGTCTGAGCTGCGTAGTGAGACCCTGTACCAAATACATCAAAATAAAAAATAAAT